AAAATATATGTATGAAGGGGGCTTTTTTGGGGGGTTGGATTGTTCTGGTTGGGTACTAGTCTTTGGGTAGTTCTCCAGTGCATCTAGTATGTGGGGCTGCTGCTGAAGATGCCTTTTGCTGATTCTCAAAGCTGTCTGTGGGTTCTTCCAGCCTCACTCTTCTATAGTAAGATAGGTAATGTATAGCCCTGTGTGTATCTAATCTCACTCATGTTCTCTGTGTTATTGTTTTGTCTGTGATAATTGTACATAGTTGTTTGTGTTATAATAAACCATTTAATTAATTTAATCTTAATTTTGGTGCCTCTGTGTATCAATCCCCATATACCAGGCTGAGCCACCTGCCTCAGCAGTATTTGAGTCATTCTGGGCCACTCATGTTCCCTTTCTGATCACTGTAATCTTTTTATCTAGAGCCACCTTTCGGCCCTTACAACTCTGTCTTGGCTTCAATTCCTGGATCTTACATCCACACCTCCAGAAATGTAATATGTCTCATCCAGTGCAATAAATATCCTGATGGAAAATATGTACAAGAAACCAGACTTTACTCTACCATTATCACCTTTTTTTTAATCTGTTGTGAATAATGTGCATCTCCCAATCTGGTATTCCATCTCCAATGCTAGGGTTACTGCTTACTAAAGTACTTAATCTAGTTATCATATATAACTACGACAATCTTGTTTGCAATAGCTTCCTGAACTACAACACTTACCCCTTGCTATTTATGCATTCAGAAACCAGAAATAGATGGGGACCAAATTGGGACATGTTTCTCACTAATCACAGATTAGGAAGCCTATTATATCAAGTTTCTCTCTTATCCTGAATATTGCTGAGAGTCATAGCCCAATGTAGGAGGACATTAACAACCTTGCACCCAGGGATGACAAATGTCCCACCTGCAGCTTTCCAATACTGAACCGACTGCCCATCAACCAATAGCATTCTGTGATTGTAAGCTTTCAGTGGATGATCATCATGCTTTCTTCCACTATCAAAGCAGCACTCATCTTGGCATCTCTGCACAATAGGGCTCGGGTGAGCTATGCACTGTAATGTTAGGAGTGAGGCCTTCCATATCAAAACTCTGAGCCACTGCATCACTATGTTTTACATTTTTGTAGTAGGCTTACCTTTCAGAGCTTGGGTTGAATCCCAGGTTTGAGATCCTGCTGTTTTGATTGGTGGAGCCCATCCACCAATCAGGAGGCAGCAAGAGAAATAACAGCACGCCCCTTTTCTGAGGGGAGGAGGAAAAGAGCTCTCCCGGACCTGATTGAAGACTGGAAACTGTCAGGTAAAGAAGACTTCGGGGCGGATCCCTGGAGCGTATAAAAGGAGTTGCATGCCCAGCATAAGATGGGATGCGTCAAGGGCTGAAGAGTGGGGTTTAGAAGAGCTGAGGAGAGCTGCTCAGCAGGGCAAAGTAGTAGCCCAGGAAGAGCCCCTGAAGACTTCTATCAGCAGGGAGCAGGGGACAGCTCCAGTGGTTAGGTTCTCGATGTGCAGCATGGCATCCAGACCCTGGGAGCTGCATGAAGTGGCTCGGGTCTGCAACCTCTGGTTTGTGCCTAGAGACACAGTGCACAGGCTGGTGCATGGAGCAGGATCTTTGGAGCCCCTGGGGTGGCTCAGGTCCTCAACCCCCAGGATGACGCTGGGATATTGGTGCAGGAGGCACTGCACGGAGGGTGAGACACCCTGGGAGCCGCTTGAGGTAGCTTGGGTCTACAGCTGCTGACTCGAGGCAGCATCTCAGTGCAGATGACACAACCCAGAGGGTCCGGGAACAGACCAAGCCCTGGTGCTGCACAAGGCTGTCCAGGCCTCCAACCCCTAGCACAATGCGAAGCATCCACTACACACAGTGGTGCCTGTGGCCCTAAGCCAGGACAGCGGCAGCAGAGACAGGCAGCAGGAAAACCCAGCAGGGACACAGCAGGACTGCAGAGCAGTAGTAAGTTACCCTGGAGAGAGCGTCCCCACAGGGGAGGCCCCCCCCAAACTATATATATAGGGTTTATTGTTTTTGTACATATATATAATCTATGTCCTTACACTTTAGTGGTTTTGTTGTGATAATAAATCTGTATATAGTTAAGTAATTGATTGACTGGACCTGACTCTATAAGGGACGGAGGTGGCCACTGGGCTGTTGTGTCCCTCCACAGCACACTGCCCTGCCAATAATTTCTTCAATTGGAGAGGGAAGTACAAACCCGTGTACACCCAGGCTACATTTTATAAACCCAGAAGTGCCTCTCCACAGTGTACAGCTGGCCTGCAGCATCTGGCAACTGGCATTCATTCATCATGTGCATTGTTCCTTCCTCAGCAGCTGTGTTACTTAGTTCTGCAAATAAAACTTAGTCCATCTCCCCCTCTGTAGAAAGACATGAGGCTGCCCTGACCCATGTGGCATCAACGCTTCTGACAGCAAGGAGGTAGAGGCATTTAAAAAAGAGAAGTGTGAGAAATATAATGGAAGAATAGTGGGGATTTTTTAAAAACCAGCATTGGGAGAGTACACAGGTGATTCAAGTCCTGACAGTTCCTTAAAAAGGCTCCTGCTATCCCACAATGCAGTGCAAAATGTCTACAAGATTGTGTTTAAGGCTATCATAGAGGGACAGTGGGATACCTATCACCTCGTAACAACGCAGCATCTCATTGAGTGCGATCTAGTAAAATGTTGATGCTGGCAGCTGTGCGCAAGTGGAGCATTTCATTGTAAAAATATCTAGTGGAGATGTGGTCTAATTTGTACTGACCAGATGGTTACATCTCTGCAAGATGGTGCTGCTGCTTCATCAAACATGCTTCATCAAATATGCAAGAGAAACTCCAGCCGGGGAGAATCAATATTTTTTTAACTTTTGAGATTATTTTCTTACCTGTTCCTTTGATCTTTTCTTGGGTAAATTGGGTTTTTGGTTGTAGCTGTGTTGGTCTAAGGACATAGGCAGGCAAGGTACCTAGTTTGTCTAATAAAAGATATCACATCTACTCAAAGAACCTTGCTCGCTTGGTTAATGCACACTTAAAACTGCAGAAACACACTTTTACTTATGTAGGTTATTTCAGGTTATGCGATGATATATAATGTATTGCCTAAAGCTCTTCTCAACACTGCCCTCCCTATGGCTTCCTTTTCATTGCAGCTGCCAACAATGTATGAATACAAATATACTTGCCTCCTTTCTCCCCTATTCCATTTCTCATCATCTAGTAAGTTGTCTCTTATGATGGTGTTTTTCTGGTTTAGGATTTAATCAAAATTTTTGCTGATCAATGTTTAGTGAGGCGATCCTTTAAATTACCCACTAAGAATTTAATTCTGTTATGGGTTTTATTTTTCTGTATTGGCACAGAAACCTCAGAATTGCTTTTCCATATTTTGCTTTCTTATTTTTTTTATAGAGTAAATACTACCAGTATATAGATCTGTTGATACATGATACCAGAATCTGAAGCTGATGATCACTTATACAGGTGTCAGTTTTGCTATGACTTAAATTTGATGTTCAAACTTCCACAGACTTAATTAAGAGAATTAGGGTAAGACCCTTCTTTGAGACCGTTAGTACTGAGCCCAAGGAAAGATTCTAGATCATATTAAAAATCACAAATAAACTCCTCTGCTGCAAAATTCCAATTTATACTACCAGAAGAACATTGTTTTTTCACATACTCAATTCTGAATTTTACAGGAATTGCACCGTGGTGATTATGTCTTCAGTGTGGTTAGGTCAAAATCAGGACTAGAAAAATGCCTCCTTGATCAGCCTTAAACAAGAAGATTTGGGCTCCACCTTGTGGACATAGAATAAATATCATGGGAAGATATATAAATTAGTGGATGCAATGAAGATTTCATTTGTAGCATTTCCTGTAATTTTTTGTTAGTCTAAGGAAAAAAACAAAATTAGCCTACGATCATATTTGTTTGTATAGAGTTGTTTTATCTGTTTTGAATAAAATAGTCTGAAAATTAATTTGCCTGATTTCTGGCTGATTTTCAAGTATAGCAAAAGAATTAATACTGAAACTCTCAGTGTCTTAATTACTCTTCCAGATGGTATGAACATGGAATAATCATATCTCTGAGCTAGAAACACAGAAGGACTTAAGCACCAAAGCCCAAGAGTATGATCCTCAGAACTCCTCCTATATTGCCACTCAAGTCTGGAAGCACCTAAAGTTCCTAGGCACTTCAGTTTCTTATCTTGAGGTTTGACACTTAGACTTGACAAAGCTGAGCACGTAAGCTCAAATTCATACTTAAACCATATGATACATAGAATAGGCATTTCTTGACCTACCTTGCCTACATGATTTGTTCTGGTCAGCAGTCTCAGAGCAAAAGGTTCTCAAGTCAGAGAATGAAAAAGCAGGCAAAAGCCTGACTCCCTGGCTTAGTGTTTAGCGGATTTACATGAGTGAAATGAGTCCCAAGTTCTAATCCTTGTTCCATTGAATGTTTTGGTATTTTATTCTACCCAATTGTATAAGGGCCTTGCTGCACATCAGTGGTGCCACATAGGAGGTGCGCCGGGGTGCATATGCACCACCTGAGAGCGTTGGTGCACCCTCTGACAGGCTGCACTCCCCGCTTACGTCACAGGCAGGGGGGACAGGTGGAAGCGCCGGTGCCCCTACTGTGGGCAGTGGCTGGGGCGTGGGAGCAGTGGATGAAGCACCGCGGTCACTTTCAGGAGCTCCCTGGCCACTTCTGGGAGTGCTGCGGCTGCTTTCTGCTCAAAGCGATTGGCCCCAGGGGGATTCCACCCCCCACAGTCCATGAGCTTGGCCATGGGGGAACCCCCGTCCCCCGGTCGCTGACTTGTTACTGGGGTGGTACCTGCCCACCATAAGGTGGCACCAGTTGCCAATGCTGCACATTCAAATTGAAGTTGGATAGAAACCAGCTGTTGAGTTGTACACATTTTTAAGCACTAGCTTTATAGCTGGTTGGCTCTTTTAATAGTTGAACAGTTGCATTTATTGTGTAATAATTACTTTGCAGGTGCGGCCAGTCTAAATTTACTGTGCAATTAACCAGTTAATTGTGTAATATATGTAACATGTAGCAGAAGTCTAACATTCATTGGAGCAGGGACTGAAATCCAGAAAAACTTCAAGAAGAAAGATAAAGTTTGCATTTCCTTATACAGAGGTGGGCAATTATTTCAGCTGGAGGGCTACCTAATAAGTTTTGGTGAGCTGTCAAGGGCTGCATACACACAATCTTTCAGAAGATATCATTTTAACAAATTATAGATAAAAAGAATCATATAGTAAAAATCAAACATCTACTGTAACATACTTTAATTTTATTTCAAAAATATTTTTATTTATCTATTTATGTGTCCTGATTTGTTTTTTTGGGTAGTGTATATAGAGGCGATTGTGTAACAGCTCAAAGTCTTACTCTTGTATATTAGGGGTGGGGCATGTGTGAAGGGAGTGTGGGATGGAGGGGGCTGCCTGGGTGCTAGCTCCCAGGATCTGGCCAGGGACGGAGGGAGAAAGGGAGAGGCTATGGGAGGGAGAACAGTGCAGGCTGCCCTGTGAAGAAGTGGGCTTGGTCCCATGCAGAGTATTGTGGGGGGTCAGATACAGTCAGTTGGTGAGTGCCTGCCTGTGGGCCGGATCCAGGCAGTTGCCAGGCTGGATCCGGCCCACAGGCTGTATTTTGGCAACCTTTGGCTTATACCCATTCTTATTGTTTAGGACACTCCCCTCAAAGGTAAGAGGTGAGAATTTTAATTCAGATCTCCTACATCCTGGGTAAGCGCTCTTCTCTCTGAGCTACTGTACAAAGGATTACTCAGTTGTTCATTTGTAGAAATTATATATGGTATTCAGCTATTTACTTCAGTGATGTCTTAGTCCTTTAATATGAAAAATATTAAATTCAAGAAATCAGTCATAAATGAAAACTCTGGTGCTGTTATATAAGAATAACTGAATCATAAATAAGGTGCAAAAATACTAGCATATCAGTATCTGTGAGCAGCTGGGGTTCAGTATTATTTAATGGGTGGCTTCATTTTAACCATTTTATTTTAATAAAAGCAAGATCAACTCCAGGGAAGATATATTGTAGGTCACAACCCTTCCTTTACCTGAAGAAATAAACTTTTCTTTTCTCTCTGGATCTTGCCATCCTTGAAATAACAAAAAAGTACTGGAAAAGAAAACATGCTCTACCAGAAAGAATCTAACATGAAGCAATAGTATTTAAAGCCTACACTTGCCTGAATACAAGACTTGCCAAAATGGATAAAAACCGCTGCTCCATCAAGTCTGATATCTTATTGCAAATAATGGCTTCTGATATGTCAGAGGAAGGTGTAAAGCACACCAAAAGGCAGAGGTTGCATTATTTGCCCTGTCCTAACTTATAACTCTGGAAATTTCTTTTACCCTTCTGAATGCCTAAACTAGCGTTTTCCAACCTTTTCCATCCCATGGCACGCTGGCTGGATGCAGAGTCGGGGTGGGGGGGCAGGGCACAGGGCTGGCCAGGGTGTGGTGCCAGTGCACAACCGCAATGGCAGCACTGCCTAGAGCCACGCCCAGCCAGAAGCCGCGCACCCCCAAGATTTCACGGCACACCTGTTAATGTCTGATGGCACATGGGTTGGGAAACACTGGCCGAAACCCTTTCTGAATCTGGCAAAGTGCCTTGTTTAACGGCACCCTGTGTCTGTAAGTTCCACAATCTAATGACATGATGGGAAAATATGAGAGAATATTTCCTTTTATAATTTTTTAATTTCCCATCTTTCAGTTTCATTGGATATTCCTTTGCTTTTGTATTACTAGACAGGGTGTATTTGTTTTCCCGGTCTACCTCATCTAGTCCATTCACTACTAAATATGTACTTAAGTTCTCTCATTAGACTTTCCTTTGGAAGGTCAACAGTTCCAGTCTTCTGTCTGTCTATATATGAAAGCTTCTTTTTGCCTGTGGTCATTTCTGTCACCTCTCTAAATCCTCTCAAATTCTATAATATATTTTGTGATATGCAGCATTGAAGAGGAAGCTTCATTATTGATATGTATGATGGACAGGATAAAAATACAAGGAAAAAAATTATACCAGTTCCATACATGTGCTAGCAATTTAGAGTTACCATATTTCCATTACCAAAAAAGAGGACACCTGTGGACATCTGTGGGGGCGGGGAGGTTATATGTTGTGGGGCGGCAGTGATATGCCTGGGTCCTGCCTCTGCTCTTCACTCCCAAGCCTCTGCACCCACAGTGCTGGCAGTGCCCCCTGCCCCCCACCCCCAGCCCTGCAGCCCCTACCCCCCCC